TATCAGCACTGCAGTTATGTATATAACGATGTGGCTTTGGGCATGTTTTTTTTATGAGAGTATAACATTATAACATGATATAAAACTCAAAAAAGTTGATTTTACATGATATTGCCCCTTTAAATGCCAAAATAATAGAAGGTTTTGTGTTTTTTTCCTTCAAAGTTAAAAGTTTACATGTGCTAAAATGTCTCAACAGTTTGGAAAAGCTCAGACGATGATGTCATGGCTTTGGAAGACTTTGATTGGTTGACATTTGAGTTCATCAGAGGCACACCTGTGGATCCGTTTTAAACACCTACCTCAAACACACGGCTTTGTTGTGTCACATGATGGGAAAACCTCAAAGATATCAGGGAAAGAATCGCTAACGTTTAAACCCCGGTTCTTCCTTGGGTTCGATTTCTCAGCTGCTAATATAAACCGAACACTTATCAAGTTTAGCTTTTTAAGTTGATCCCCAAGTTCACACTCAAGAACTCTGAGGATCAGAAGTACTTAAACAGACTCTGGATTATTCTGATCCCAGCAGTTTGACAGATTCAAGGAGGATTTCAGGAACAAAATATGATTTAAATTAAATTCCAACTTGTCCAGTGAGCAAGATTAATCCTGTATCATGTTAACATTTATTTATTTATTGATGTTTTTCAAGCCATTACAGGTGAAATCATAGATTATTTTACACTACAGAGCTGCAGGGTAGAAATAAAATAATTCTCTCAGTAGTTTTCAAAATTATAAAAACAAAACTATTTTTACTTAAATTGGAAACGTAATAGAGTCTAAAGCTCACTGAAAGAGCAGAGCACCTGACAGAGGAACCTAACTGCAGCAAACAAAAGCTAAACTTCAGATCTTATTTTTGAAAGCAAAGTTTCACTTATTGTTTCAAGGTCAACATTTTAATTTTAAACACATGCAGTACATTTTGTTTTTGCTTTTTGTTGGTCTAGAGAGCATGATAATGGGGTGTTTGAATTTTTTATTTAGTAAATATACTTTGAGTGACGTGTTGTTGGCTACTTTACTTGTTTTACATATCTAGTAGCCTTCAGTGTGACATGCAGTCTAGTTTAGAGTGCTCATTATCCAAGTGAAGAAATTTATTTGGGTTTGTTTTCTTACTGAGTTTTAAAAGCACTACACATTCTGTAGGTTTTCTTAGGCGAGGAAAGATATTTTTATAAACTATTGTGTGAATATTTTTGTGATTAAGATGATTTTATGTACAGACTGGTCAGAATGGCTTGACGAAATGGTCACTCAGAGCAGGACGTACATATACGTAGATATGTGCCTGGAAACATTTACAACTCACATAAAAGCTGGAATTAAAACACTAGTTGAACAGGACAGATAGGGTGCCCCCATGTGATGCAGTGACTGTAGGTCGGGTCAGGTGTTGAAGAAGTTATTAAATGGAACAACACTTCCTGGATGCTTTGCTGAATGCAGACGAGAGCATTAAATCTGTCTTTCAGTCCAGCGCTGTTGTGTGGTTGTATCATTCTTTTTAAGTACAAACATTCAAATATTGGTGAACTCTGTTTGGCTGTGATCATGTAACGAAGTCATTGAACACACACATCTTTTCATAAGTTTGGTCATCTTAAAAAGTTCGATCTGGATAAGATTGATCCATCTATTCTTGGAACAATTGAGACAAAATAAGACCAATTCTGTGGTCCTGGATAGCAAAAGAAAGGGAGGTTTCAAAATCCCGACAATTCTGATCCAGATTCTTTTGCACAACAGTCCCCTGAGGACAAACCAAGAGCAGATAACCAAGTAACAATGACAGGAGAGAAACAGAAGAAAGAGACACAAACAGTGGCGCTCGCTGTTAGAAAAGGCTGGTTTATTTATTGCCACAGTGAGACCCCCGCTCCCCCTGTTGGTGTGATGGTCGGCTGGTTCAAATCCTTCTGTTCTTGTTATGAACTGGATTTCACCTGTGAAAACATCTTAATATACAGTATGTGAGATATGTGATCATGTGCAGAGGTGCACATAAGCGGTGCGCAGGTACGTTTGCGTGGTCAAAAAAGGAAAAAGCGCACCAGATGGGATGTCATAAAGCTCCCTTGCGTACCTAAGATTGTACCTGATTGTCTGTCAAAACAACAGCTAGTAGGGCTCTAGAGTGCAACCTGATTTCTTAAAAAAAAAGAATCCAGCCGCACTGGTATGAATGGATCATTGGGCCTCATGCAAGAACCGTTCGTACGCACAAATTTGTTCTTAAGTTGTGCGTACGAGTGATTTAGGAGAATTTGTGGCATTCACCAATGATTTCATATTCTAAGATTTTTTTCAGATACGAACAAATTTTACGAGTGGTCCAGACCTGTCGTATATTTTACGAGCAGTCAGTCTGCTGTTATCCAGACGGGTTTTCTTC